GAGACGTGTCCTTTTTGCTGTTGTTGCTGCAGCAAATGAAAAATAAGCTTTGAAAACATTTTGTGCCATTTAAAGAACAACATTTCGCTATTGTCCTCTTGTTTGTCTTATATTACAAGTTCTGGTCACCCGAAATGCTTGTCCAATTTCGATTTTTTTCTTTTATTTTATATCAGAATTTTTGTTGTCTTGTGTCACAGTTGAAATGAGTTTTCTCGGCTCTTTTCCAGTTGATGTGCTTAATGGTGTTTGCTTTTACAACTTTCCATTTTGCAGTTTCTGTGTGTGTGTGTGTGTGAGTGTGTTTGTGTGTGCTTTGGCCGCATATTTATGCTAATCTCTGTGTCAGCCACATACATCTGTATCCATGTCTGTGGCTGTGTATGCGGGTGCCCATCTACAATAGATGAAAAGCTCTTCTTAATGATGGACGGAAGATACAGATGGAAAGCCAAAAGGAACACGGGCATTCGCTTTGCTGCTCAGCTTGCTTTTAGTGTAATTAAAAATGCAGTCTACAAAATCTTTTACCACTCTCGCGTGCCCTCTCCCTCTCTCACATTCTCTTGCTCTCTTTTACTTTACTCTCTTATGCATTTCCTTTTGGCTTCAGGGCTCTGGCTTCTGGCTGTGGCGCTGGTCCGTTGTGGTTTGTCGGGCGAACCTTTTGGCTGCCATTAGCAGGATTTCCTTTAAAGAACTTTAAGACGCACAAGTGAAAATGATTTAATTTACCGCATTTCGCAATTAAATGCGAGTCCTTGAATTGGACATGGGGCATGGGGCATGGGGATCGGGCACTGAGGCTGGGGCTGGGGCTGAGTGAAGCACTAATTGCATTTTTTTCACGCCATTTTCTGTTGGATAAAGGGATTTGGCGCCTGCAACTGACTATGAAGCTGATTGGAGGCAAGGCGACCGAAGACCACTGGTAGGGGCAGTCACAAACTTAATTAAGCCCCAATGCCAACTGCCTACGGCCATGGCCGAGACTGAGCTCTCTGTGGGTGAATGTGGGTGGCTGTGGTTGCTGTGGGGGATGTGGCTGAATGGCTGCTAAGCTGAGCGTTGCAGCATCTTTAATAAAGCGTGGCCCAAGCCAACTGCGCCGCAGGTAATGGAAATCTCGATGACAATTTTTTAGTTTTAGCTGCCATGAAAACATTTCAATTGCGGTTGCCAGGACACTGATGTTGTCCTGCCGGAAGTCGTTGCGCCTGATTGCCAGTAGCAGGACCAGGACCACTGCCAGTCCGTGCCACACAGCAACACTTGAAAGCAAAGCGGATAAAGTCAATTCAAGTAAATGCTTTCCTACTTTCGCAGCACTTCCCCTTACCCACAGCACTGTGGCAATAATCATCATCATGGCAGGGCAGAGCTCTGTTGTTTCTGCCAAAACACTTTCCATTTCGGTGGCAAGTTCTTGCTGCGGCGCAAATTCAGACCAGGAAATGCAGTGGAACTTAAAGAGATATTTATATCAGTACATTTTTATCATAGCAAGAGATCCGTAGAAAACGCAAAAACGAGCAAAGGCGAATTCGCAGCAGAGCTCAAAGCAAGTATGCGGAGAGCGAATTAAGGTGAGAGCGAATTCAGACACGAGCGAATAACAGATCGGAAGAGAGAGACGCCGAGAGAGCGTCCAATTCAGCTTCTGATGTAAAAGCTTGTGCACAGAGACTTGTAACTTTACTTGTAACAATAAACTTAAGCCCCCACAGCATACCAGTACTAGATATTTTATTTTACTTTTGATGGCAACGATCAATCTGCCGTTTCGGACCCCTGCCCCGTCCGTTGTGTTTGAGTATGGAATTCCCAATGCACGATTACGAGGACACTCTGTTACACATCCTTCTCCCTTGGAATGGTTCATTAGCTGCACTCGCTGGAGAAATGTGCTGCCAAAGCACATTGTATGCAATCTCGGTATCAGACCAGCTCAGGCTACAGGGCACAATTTTTCTTCTCTTTCTGCTGGCATCGATGCTGCTGCTGCTCTGGCTCTGCTGCTGCTGCTCTTTCTCTGCTGCTGCTTCTGCTCCCGCTTTTGCTGCTCTTGCTCTGCTGCTGCTGCTCTTCCTCTGCTGCTGCTGCTCTTCCTCTGCTGCTGCTGCTCTTTCTCTGCTTTCTGCTGCTCCCGGTTCTGCTGCTCCCGTTTCTGCTTCTGCTGCTTCTCCTTCTTCTCCCTCTGCAGCTTGAATAAATAATAGCCATATTTGTGTCTTGCACGGTGATGCCCCGGACGGATGCGTTCGTCTTTAAGACGCTCAATTTGTGCCTCTTTGGGGGCCCAGGCCATTTGCCGTGGCATACGTAGCATATTCTGTTTCGCTTCAGTGTTTTCTTCTCTACAGCTGGCATAAATGCATTAAAAACAATAAATGCGCAAAGTAGAGCAGCGCTGAAATGCTCGTAAAGTGGGACCCAAAACTAGACAAGAAGCCAGTCGGCAGGCAGGCAGCCAAGCAGCCAAGCAGCCAAGCAGCCAAGCAGCCAGCCAGGATGTGCCGACAGTACTGACCGGCACTGACCGGCAGCACTGGCTCCTCCCCGCGGTGCACCCGCCACGGTCATTGCAAATTAATGGCCTTCAAAGTGGTTAAGCAGGAGGAGATGCAGCTCGTTGGACACTCGCTAGCCGGACGCCGGGCAGTTCATTGAGTTCACAAAAGAGCAGCAGCAAATTTTATGAGTTTCCACGGTAAAATAAGAAATTTTGCACATAATAATATTACCCAAGCAGAAAGAGAGCGAAAGAGAGAGAGAGAGAGAGAGAGAGACAGAATGGACCGGGGGCAGACTGCTGCTGCCTTTTTCCGTGTTGCCATTAAGTGCAAAAGGATTTTCATTCTTATGCGCATCCTGTGCATAATACAGCAGACTCGGCACACGCAAAACTCATTGCCATTGTGTGTGTGTGTGTGTGTGTGAGTATCTCCCTCTCTCTCTGCTCCTGCATCTGTGTGTGTGTGCAAGGATATGCCAATTTATTGCACACACGAGTGCATTAGAGTGCCACAGTCCATGGTCCACAGTCCTTACCCAACTCCCAACTGCCTGTCCGCTCTCCCGCTCTCCCGCTCTCTCTCTCTCTCTGCTCACCCCAATGCTGAGGGGCCAAAGTTTTTGTGTTCATTTGGCGATTGCGGCTGCTGCATGTCTGGCAGAAATTACTTAATCCTTGCGGTTTTCTGGAGCAGCAAGTGCATTCTGTCCACTGCCATCTGCCCGTCCAGTCCATTTACCCATTAAAGCATTTGTAATTGGCATTTGTTGCTATTTAAGCGGCCAGCCGAAGCATTTCCTGCAACTCTGCAAGAACTCTGTCTTTAAAGCGGAGAATAGTTCCCCCCCCCTGGCAGTGGCAGCTCCACCCTCTGTTGACCTGCTGGCCTGCTGCTCCTGCCGTTCTATTGCCCCAAGAGACAGGGCCAGCGAAATGCTTTCCTCCTGCCTCAGGCCACATCGCAGATTACAAATAAATTATCGCCTAATAGTCTTGCTCGTCTTCTAGCAGGAAGCAGCAATAAGCTGCTCCCCATTGATTTGCTGTTAAAATGGTTAAATGACAATCAATGCTAGTGTGAAGAATTAACTCTTGATTGAGCAACGATTTATGGCAGAGCGTAGAGCGTTCCGCTAAAGGATCATCTCAGAGAATTTAATAGAGGCTGGAATATTCCAAACCAAAGCCCAAACTGTTTGAACAGTGTCTGCTGGCCAGCCGCAATCATCAACATAACACTCCATGGACATACATACCTCTGTGCGTGTAACTCTCGCTGTAAAAAAATGTCTCAAAACCAGACAGGACTCGCAAGCAGAATGCGCATTACGCCTCAGTGACCAGCGACTCCGCAGACTGCCGCACCAAAAGTTGAGTGCATCAAAAATTAAAAACTTCAACAGAAATAAGGGAATAATAAGATGAGCCAGAAGTAGAGCTGCCCCAGGGTGCAAATGGGGTTCATTGTTGGGTTCTTTTTTCCCAGGCAAACAGAAATCAATCTCAGCCCGTGGTGGGACGTAAATGATATGCAATGCGAGCTATCTACACTGTCAAACATGAAATTGGGCACATGGAGTACAAAAATTCAAAAGAAAAACTTCAATTTCGAAGAGGAGAAATGGTATTTAAATAGATTAAATATCTCCCTAGTTCGTGCCTAGATTTTTGACATGCAAAAAGTTGCGTTTATGAAGCTTAAAAAATAGAATTCTTTGCTTTTTTATTGAAGCCAATCAATTGGGAGTTCTAGACCCATAACTACAGACTTCTGCTTTGGTGTTCCGAACTCAAGTGCAGAGCCCAAACATTCAGCAGCAATCCTGTACATAAAAAGATGTAAAATGTATGTAAGCACAGCAAACTTCCAGCTGAACTTTGCTGTGCAGTGTAGTGGCTGCTTGAATGTGCCACACACGGAGGCGGCATCCCGACACGTCGCCCGCTACACTTGTTGTCGGCTGCCATTTTCACAGCCACAAACTTGCGTATGCAAAGGGGAATTGCAATTGAATTCATTGAATTCGATTTAAAAACGAAATGAAAACGAGACGAACGAGTCAGCAGGGGATAGGAGCAGGGCACTGGCGATGAATGTGGCCCAGCGGCACCCAAAAAAAGGAAGAAAAAGGAAAACAGAAAATTCAAATGAAACAATGAACGAAACAGCAAAACTCAAAAGAAAAAATTGGTAACCCAACAACATATTTAACGGCACGTTTTGCGGTTGTCTGAAAGGATGCATGGGAGTCGGGCGAGTGGCAAATCGGAGGGCGTGCCAGGAAGAGAAATCATTTATTTGGCTGCATGTTTATTGATGTTGTTTCCTTGTGTTCTTACATTAAACGTTGCATACTTAGAGGCTATTTACAGGAGTCGGCAGGCCCAGGTCCTTGGCTGCCACACTTTTAACGTCTTGTTTTGTTACTCAGTGACATTTACTACAATTATACATCGAAATTACATGGGGTTTGCTTTTGTTTTATTTGTAAATTCTCACGTGCATTTCAGTTGCTTAGAGCTAGAAAATGGTTTCAAAACAAACACGAAAAAACGTAAAATAGCAGCAGGACAATGCCGCTCTACGGCCAGCAGTGGCTTCGATTCACACACGTTGACGCCATTTTGTAGCGCGTTGACTTCCGTGCGCCATATTGAAATGTCAGTGGCGTCAAGAGTCGCGCTGCGGTTGCAACAGCCGCAGACGCCATCAGCAGCAGCAGCTGCTGCAATTTTATGCCATTTCCACCACGTGTGGCAGCTGCAACACAGCGAGCAAGAGAGAGTGAGAAATTGTTATTAATTTGCGTTGGAAAATTGTCCAAATATGTCCGTCTGTCCGTCCGTCTGTCCGTCTGTCTGTCAGTGTGTTAAAAATATTTATATTTATTTTTAATTAGCGGCCACTGGCATTTGCGGTCACAAAGCGCAGTGAAGTACCCACCCGATCGCGAGTTGATCAGCTTTTGGTTCTTCAGATCGATGTCATCGCGGAAGAGCTGCGCGTTCATGCTCGCCTCACGCTGCAGCTGCGGATAACGATCAATCTCTGCCACGCAGCGCAGCTCCAGGCCGAGGCGCGCCGGGGAGATGGTGCGCTTCTGCTGCGGCTGCTGCTGCCGTTGCAGCATCAGCTGTTGCAGCTGCGCCTGGTGGAAGCGCGGCTCGTTGGCATAGAAGTTCAGCTGCGAGACAACGCGCCGCAGATTGTAGTCGTGTGCAGCGATCGTGGTCTCTATGCTGGGCAGCAGATCCACCAGGGAAACCTATTTACCATTTTGGTTCATAAGAAAGCAAAGCTATGGATGGTTGACTGGCGCGTTACCTTCACTCCATTGATGTACCACGTGATGTGCGTGAAGAGGCTGGAGAAATCCGTGCTGCAGTTCACCTGAACAAAGTCATCGAAGCGATACATGGAGTGAAAGCTGCTGATAAGTGGATTGTTCTGCGGCAGAGCTGCAAAGGTCGAGAAGATTTGTGAAATTTATTACGAATTTAGAGCTAAAAACTGTAGTTCTTCGAGGGTAAGAGTGGAGCTCCGAGTAGAAAGCTGACACTCAAAGTTAGCTTAGCATTTTGACCCTGTTTATCCACTCTATCCATTGGCATTCCTATAGTTTTCCGGCAGCTCTAGCTAAGCCCAACATTTGAGACCTGACAAGTATCTTTTTTGCTGTTTTTTTTTTGCTTCTTTCGTTCCTGAGCTTGTGAAAAGGATTGGGGATTTATAGACAGAGAGCGGGTTAAGTCATCTATGGATGGCTTTTGTGGGGCATCAGAAGTGGAGAGGGACCAGCAGCAGGGAACTATTTGAACCATTGAAGTGTACGCTCTAGAACCCATTGGCGTAGAATGAAGAACTTGCACACAGATGGCAGTGCCAGAAGGTGTTCCGATTTAGCTGTTATCAGCTCCCAACTTGTATCTAAATAGAATCGTAGAATCAGCAAGCCACTTAAAGTACAAGTACACTTAAATACTGTCACAAAATCGTGCCTTAACTCACAGCTACTGCCGTAAGTAATGCAAGACATCTGATTGCTTCGCAGGGCTGAGTGCATTGCAGTTGTTCCCTTGGCTAATTTTAAACGCACATTACACATGCAAATGGCGCACCTTTGTTGCACGTTCCTGGCTCCTCCCCCTCCGCTGTTTGTGTTGCGCCACTTCTCTATTTGCTTTTGATAAATTTTTAAAAATATTTTAGCAGCAGTGGAGCCTGAAGCAGAGCACAGTGCCCGCCCGCCTGCCTGCCTGCCTGGCTACAAGATATTTATTTTATATCAGCGGAAAAATAGATGATCATAAAACACATGCAGAGAAGCATCCTGCATCCTACAGGGGGGGGGGGGGGGGGGGTGGAGTAGGGAAAAGTAAAAGCGAAAATAAAATAAAGCAGACCAGAAAGCAAGGAGGCAACACGCACATGCAGCAGGCAGCAGGCAGCGGGTGGCCCTTGGCGGAGTTGCAACCGTGCAGGGAGGCAGTGGCGGAGCTTTTCATTTTAGCGATATCCTTTTTAAGCATAAAGTGCTGCCGTAAATCACAGAGCCGCACAGACACATACAGAAGGAGGAGCTGCAGGTTCCTGTGCGCTGTGTCCGTGTCCATGTCGTGGCTGAGTGGGTGTGTATGGGTGTGACTCTGTGTGTATCTGTGTGTGTGTGTGTGTGCGCACTGTGCGGATGCGAATCACATGCATCTCTTGGTTACATTTTATGAACGCTCGCTGTTCCTTTCGCGAGCACATCCTGCCAGGCTGCCTGCCTGCCTGGTTGCCTTGCAGCTTATCCTGTGCGTGTACAGCACTATCCTCGGTCCTTCCCTCGCAGTGGCAGCCACTTTGCCAGCTCGTCATATATGCAAACGGGGCCCCCCCCCCCCCCCCTGCACTGCACTGCACTGCACTACCCCCCACCGTGTTGTTTACTATTAAAATATCACGGAAATTACACATTTTACTCTGTTTATGCAAGAGAAAGAGGCGGAAGAAGAGAAAGCACTGCCTGCGCGGAACGTGGGAATCGGAACGGGAATGGCAATGGCAATGGCAATGGGAGAACAAGCTAAATGGTTAAGGAGCAGCAAGCCTGAGGCATTAAATATTTACATGTTGCACTGCCACAGAAGATGAAGTTACTCCTCCCCCACCCACACATACACTCCGCACTCTCTCTGTGTGTGTCCTTAATTTAAGACAGCATTTCATTAGACTCACCCTCTACGCTCATGTTGGCATCGCGTGCAGTCAGCTGAAAGTGTGGCGCATCGCCGGACACTTCGCACCTGTAGAGGCCCGATGATTTGAAGCCCAGTAGATTAAGTTCCACGCGACATGAGGATTCATTGCACTCGTTGCCATCATCGATCAGCTGTACGCCATCCACAGCGAAGGGAATGTATGTGGGTGGCGTAAGTGGCGAGTATCTAAAGAGCAGGATAAGAAAAAGGGTTTAAGGATGAGATTCTGCACAGCAAAGTGGCCGCAAATTGCAGCCCCAGCCGCCGATAATCGACAGATGTGTGTCGTGTCGTGTCGTCGTAGGCTTGGGTTAAAAGCTTTCAAAGCCATCAACGAAAACTGCCCAGGAAATGGACAGCGAGCGAGTGGGAATCCTTGCTCTACGCAGACAAGTGGCTTACATGCCCTCAACCTTAACTGATTGCCAATGTGGCAGCAAAGGAGGGTCTAATGTGGAAATGGACTCGGGCTTGGGCTGGGTCTCTCTCCACATTTAATTTGTTTTGTATTGTGTATTGATGCTCATTAATCCCACAAAATGCCTCCAAAAAACATGTAAAAAAAGCAAGAAAAAGTGTTCAAGTGGAAAACTTGTCCAACACTAAAGCACACACTGGCACACACACACACACACACACGCGCGCAGCTATCAAGTGGGTTTTGCTTTGGGTGGCACATAAATAAAAAGCACCCCCAAAGCGTTGCCTACTTTTGTGCGCTGCTCTGCAGTGTTGATAAGTCGCCTTTGTTGGTGTGTGTGTGTGTGTGTGTGCCACTTGTTAATAGCTGGGGAGTGGTCCTAGGCAGGTCCTAGGCCTGGTTGCGCATTATTTGCGGCTTAGGCGGTAACTGCGGCAGCAAATCAACAAATTTGATAAGCAATATAAACGGCAAAGAGAGACTGCCTGCCCCATGCCGCATGCTCGTTACAAGGGGATTTGTGTGCCGGGATGCCTTCTTTGTGTACACACATTAAATGAATTTTACTAATGCCAAAAGGGAGCGCCTGACCAAGGACAACATCAAAAGAGAAATCCAAATCGAACACTCGCAAAAGTTAAACAATTGTTGGCCAATTTTTTTTTGGCATGATTGACGCAGCGGAGAAATACTTTTGAAATGTTTTCATGTGCAGCAATTCCTGCTAAATTCCACTGAAAATGTTTCACGCTTTGCGTGCATATTTGTGGGCTTTGGAATCAGTTTTTTGCTCTAAAAATGCATCAACAAAAAACAAAAATGCAACAAACACAATGGAAAATTTATGAAATTATAAAAAACAATTTAATGATTGACAAATAGTTTTTTGTCTTCATTTTCATTGACAAAAGCAGCACAAAAGTTTAAGCAAATATTTGAAATTTCTTTTGCTGAACTTTTGCTGCTCCTTGTTGGGGCACTGTTTGCCTTCATTTGCATTGGCATTTGGCCGGGAGAGTTGCAAGTCGAAATTGCAATTTGCCTTCCGTTGACTTTTTACGTTCTACGTGCTGCTGTCTAATTAAAAACTTTCTCTCTCTGTCTCTCGCTGAGCGCTCGTGTCCCTAACCTTAGCCCTCGGGGGTGCCCTGGCAAGAGGTTCTCCATCTCTGTGCCTGTCTCCGTGTTCATTTGCTCCTCTTTATGCTGTGGGCGCATGTGTGTGCTGGCTGCTCATTTTTAATTAAGCAAAACGCGAAGCACTCACTTGAGATTTTTCATTACAGAATGCCACACACAGCCTGCCACTGTTGCTGGAAGAATGATGGCTCAGCCACTTGTTGTCGTTGTGGCCGCCTTGAGGTCGAGTGACCATTTAATCATCGTATTTTGGCTACAGGTTGCGGGGCTCCTTGTTGTTTGTCTCGCTGCAAACGATGTGTGTGCATAAATAATAAATGCCACGAGTGGCGGGGGCTTGGAGCGTCGACCAAACATTTAAATTAATTTGCCAACAACAAATTAATTTATTTAATAATTAATGTTGCAAGAAAGTCTGCTGCCGCAGTGCCGCTGACACTGAACATATTTGTGTGTGGAATACGCTTACACACAGCAGAGCCTGTGGCATGGATTTTCCATGCAACTGACAGCTGCGACCTGGCACATTTTTGTCATAAATAACGTGCTAAAAACAGTGCGTCAAAAAACCCATCGACGGGCTTAAAAAATATGTAAAAATGAAACTTATTGTTGGGCACTTTTTTTGGCAGTTATTAATTAATTATTTTTTAGTGTTTTTTGGCATTTCTTGGTACAGCATATTATGATTATCAGCTTAGTAATTAATTATATTTGTGCCTGCTACTTGTTAATATTTTATTTATAGCTGATGGGAGATTTAACTGAGATTCAAGCAGATTTGAGGAGAACAAATTCGAGCAATAAAATATTTAAAAGTAACATAAATTATGCCACATGCTTTATGGTCATGTAACGCACTGTTTACACACCCGTTATGGCATTTCCATGCTGCGGTACTTACCTAAAAAACTCCTTGCCATTTTTGTACCACTTAACCGAATTTAACGTGTGACCACTTATGTCATAGCTGCAGGATAATGTCACGTTATCACGAAAATCAACAATTTGTGGCACATTGATGTCAGTCACACGTAGACACTGAATGCGTCGCACAACTGCCACAAGCAGAGTTGGCAGGGGAGAGCCCAAATGGTGGAGCGGCAGCGAAGGTTAGCGAAGGTCCCATGCAACGAGATAAAAAACGTCAGATAAAATGATGAGAAATGCCATCAAAATATGGTGTACGGCATACAACAAAAAAAAGAAGTCAAGGTACAATCTGAAAATCACAAAAAAGGAAAATGAAAATGTTTTGCATTCGTCTGCTTTAAATTGAGGCATTAAGCCAGTCCGGTGCCCCGTCTCGATGGCATGTCAGAGATTGTGAGGCAATAAAAAAGAAAGAACCAGATATATAATTTGGTAGATTGCAAAAAAAAAAAGTGCGGGCTGGGAGCTGCTTTGAATGGGAGAGTCTGAGAGTGCCAAGTATGTGGGAAAGTGCTTCGATTGTTGTCACAAAAAGCAAGGAAGAATGAGGATTCCATCTGGCAGTTCAAGCTGAGTTTAAACTAGTTCTTGGGCAGTTTTGGCCACTATTTTACTTGCAAATAAAAGACTTAAAACTGTTCCAATTGAATCTCCCAAACTGCTCTCATTGTTAAAGCTGTTAGTGTAATTTTGTTATGCACAGAAATATTTGGAATAGAGCGGTAAATTGTAAACTCATCAGCGAGACAAGACGCAAATGTTGAATATTAAAGCAGGAAGACAGTTGGCAGACAGCGGCAAGACAGCGAGAAATAAGAACAAGGCAAAGCGCGGCACAACTCCTAATTGAATGAACTTGTAGAAAGGCTGAGCACTAGGACAGAGACAGGCAGAGACAGAGGCAGCGAGGCCAGCCAAACGTTGCAGCACCAACACAAAAATGAAAAGCACACAAAAACAGAACAAACCGCGTGCTGGTTTTTACAATTTGCGGAACGTATTTAAGTGCAACACAGACGAAGCGAGAGCGGGTGAAAAAAAGTGTGGGAAAATGCCAGAAAAAAAAAAAAGAAATGGTTAATATCATTAGCTGCAATGGGTTGCTGGCTGTTACTGCGGTGGCGGTTAGGCGTGTGTGTTGTTGCTGCTTTCCGCTGTTGGGAAATTTCCATAATCCGCGCACAGTCGCCTTGCAGCAGTTTGGAAGTTGAAGTTGCAGCAACTGCAGACTGCCGACTGCTGCATGATAAGCGAGGAAAGTGAATGCCGAAAACGACAACTTGTGCATAATTTGAGCAAATCGCATTAGGTAACAGCAACTGTGGCAGCAACAGTTGCAACACTGCAGCAAGCACTCGTGAATTTAATTTGTCGCCGTTTACAGTTGAAATAACTTGCGAGGATGTCGAAAGTTGCGATTTGCCAAAGGCAAAGGCAAAGCCAAAGGCAAGGCTTAGTGGAGTACTCGTATTTATTTTCCAGAAAATCTTGATTGCAGCAACATCGGGGATTTGTCAGCGGCAGAGGAGACCGAAGAGCAGACGAAAACTTGTTTCAACTTTCCCTAGACAAACAGACAAAAGTGCCTGGCGGTCGCTGCGATTGCAGCCAGATTCCGATTCTGATCCTGACATGGGTCCTTTGGAGCATGTCAAAGCAGCAGACGAACAACGAAAGTAGCAGCAGCAACAAGGATGACAATGGAAACACACATTTGCAAATGGCAGCGGCAAACCGCAGCTTAATGACAGGCTTTGCCAGCAGTTCAGTTCAGTTCAGTTCAGAGGAAAAGCAAATGGAAAACTTTACCTGCGCGGCCAAAGGCACGTCCTACGGCTGCGGCTCTCCAACACTCAACGACAGTAGGTGTCTGTCTGTCTGTCTGTCTGTCTGTCTGTCTGTGTGTGTTTCTGTGCAAACACGGCTTGTCTTGGCGTGTATATGTAAATAATAAAAATAAGTACATCAAATACAGACAAACGAAACTTTTTTTGCACGGCAATCAACGCACTTGGTTGAACTTTGCTGCCTAACAACCAGAACCAGAGACGGAGACAGAGACAGAGACAGAGCCACAACCGGAGACGTAGACAGCGTCTGGAGCAGGGGACAGAAACAGAAAGAGACACTGAAATAGAACCAAAGACAGAGACAGCGACGGCAACACATCAATTTGTTGTGGCAGCGGCTGCAGTTTCTCTCTCTTCTCGCTGTTCCAATACCTCTCTGTCCCTGTGTCCCGCCGTCCATTTGTCTCTCGGTCTCAGTCGTTCGCTGTTCCAATGTCTCTCTCTGTCCCTGCGTCTAGCTGTCTCTCCGTCTCTTTCGTCTTGCTCGTCTGCCTCTGTCGCAGCTGTTCGCTTGTGGTCTGTGCACGAAACCCCCTGGATACGCCGCACCAACAAAGTCGACATCTATGCCAGCTCTAATGAAAGTCAAGCAGCAAAGCTGTTCAATAAGTATAAACTTTAGACTCTAAAGTTAAAAGATTCTCAGAAAATGTACCAATTCCTAGAATATTTTTGTGTATTAGAATACCGCGAACTTAACTCCCATAACTCAAAACAAAGGCCGGCATGCAGTTACTTTAAGGTGCTTTAGTGCGTTTGCATGCACAGAAAACACAAAAGAAAACGAAAACTCTGCCTGCTTCTCTGCCGATGCGCGCAGCAGCTGTTTCGCTGCCGCTGCGGCTGTTCCCTGTGCATGAAGCCACACGAAGCTTTAGCGCTGCCCGAGATCTTTTGCTATGCACAGAGCAGAGCTTGCGACGCTGCCGTCCTCTGAACTAAAAGCAGCGATCGTTTGCTGTTTGAGAATGAGCTTTTGTTCGAAGCTTTACAGACCCTTTTGCATTGGGAATGTCTGTGAGAAATTACACACACAGTTAGTTTGTTTTGTCAAGCTCCTTCCGTGACTTATTTGCAGAAATTTCCTCTGGTTTTTGCTGGCACTAAACTTAATATCATGAGTGTAGTAATCTCTACCACAACGATGGCCCTGGATTTGTAATCAGCTTCTGCCTCTTTCTGCCTTTCTGACTTTTTCCTGACTTTTCAGTAGTTCGCCATAAGCGGGACAACATTATTTTTGCCCATACTACACAGCTACATCTCCATCTACATATATATAAGGCTACAGCGCAAATCCGCTTTAAACATTTTCAGGCGACGATAAACGCTTGAACAGAGACAAATCTGCACTGGCCCCCAAACGAGGAAGGAAAATGAAAGCAGCAGCAGCAGCAGCAGCGGCAGCGGCAGCAGTGGGAAGAGAGAAGAGAAGGCCAGGGCCAGGCGTCTATAATTTGCATACAAATGCGGGGCCAACGACAACGACAACGACAAGTAGAAGACTTCAAGTGGATGGCAGTGTTTGTTTGGATTGGGTTTGGGGTTTGGCCATGGCTGATGCCGAAGCTGGGTAGCTGGATAGCTGGATAGCTGGATAGCTGGGATTGGAGTTTGTTTTAGTTTGGTCGTTGCGGAGGAGGAGGCAGGCAAGTTGCGTTGGATGCGCTGCGGCAAACAAACACAAATAAAGATGCTAATCTCAGCCAGCAGCAGCAGCAACAACAAAAAATCCACCATCTAAACGAGCAACACGAGCAGGGCAAGTGGGACAGGGCGAGGCAGCAGCAGCAGTAGCAGCAGCAGCAGCAGCAAAAAGCGTTGCCACGGACAGCTACTATGCTGAGATTCCTTAGCTGCTGCGGACGGAGCTTTTGTTGTTTTCTGGTTTGATGTTTTTTTTTTTTTTTGTAGTTTAAATCCCATTTGGCTTGCAGCTGAAGCTGGATCGGCAGCTATGCAAACGTGAAAGCGTGAAAGTTTAAAGTTGATTTGGCTCAGACTTTGACTTGGACTTGGAGTTCGACTTGCGGCTTGGATTTTGGCAAGAGAAGAGGCTTTGTCTGCCCGACATCACATTAGTGTCAGTTTCTGGCCCATGACAGTTGAAAGTCTTTTGCCATAGTTTTCTCCCAAAGGGGAGCAGCCTCGTCCCGGGCTCATAACGCACACTTACGAAAATTGAAGACACTTGTAAAATCGGCAATTTGTTTAAATAAACTTTATGGCACTGGAAGGCGGGATGAGCGAGTGCCTCTGCCTCGGCAAATATTTATTTTCTTTATAGCAGGCAATGGCCTCAGCCCGAGCTCTGTGTTTGCAGTGAATTTTGCGAGCGTCTATAAATTTTAGCAAAGTGCAAATAAAATATACCAAGAGAGACACTTTATTCTATCCACACAGTTTTGCCTGCTGCTGCTTTATCCTTTAAGGCGTACTCTCCGCATTGAAATTGTCGCATTTATGTTCGGTTTATGCAAATTTTCCGGGCGACTGTCGTGGCATTTGTCCTTGTCCTTGCCAGCGCAGAGGAGAAGAATTTCACTGCTCAAACAATGCACATGGCATAAAAAGCGACTGCAACGGTCTGTTGACACAGTTTTCCCCTCGTGATGAATACAATTTCGCATAGATCATAGAACACTTAATGGCAAACCCAATCGATACATAAATATAAGTGAAACGAGGTCACGGCTCTATTTACACAATTTGTTCGCCTTTTTGCATAATAATTTATGCCAAAAAGTGATGAGATCGATGGCAAGCCATTTCCTTTGAATGTTGTCATCCTTCAGGATCAACAGACACATAAAAAAAACTCTCGAAGTGGCAGCTGGGAGAGGCCACGCTCTCGGCTTATCTGTGGCAGACGCATAAAAGCTAATTGAAATTATTATTTTTATTTCGTTGCCTCGAAGTTCGGCTCGTTTCGGTTCACTGTGCCCTTCATTGGGCCATAATTAAAAGTGTATTTAAAAAACAATTTCGGGGGCATAAAATTAACATAAATTGATGTGGTTAAGGTCGGCTGTGGGTCGCAGCTCGTGTCGGGGTCGGGTCAGATCAGGTTGGTTCTGCCTTTGGGTCGGTGGCGGGACAAACACATTTATTGCTATGCTAATTTCGAGTTCCAAGTTCGGGTCACACGATGCACAATGGCGACGAGCGGAAACGGAAATGCCTAAATGACTTTCCATCGTGCTGCCTGTCTGTGTGTGTGTGTGCAGCCACAAAGTTGCCAACACCGTGGACTGTGTCGTAAAAAAAGGGCTGGTGCTGGTGCTGCTGCTGGTGCTGGTGCTGGTGCTGGGGCTTGCAAAAGGATTAAAAGCAAAAGGCAATAAAATGAAAAGTTTCAAATATTTTCGTTATTATAACCGGCTCGGGCAGGGCTGCCCGGACCCCTGCCAGACATGGCTTTAACCGCAGCTTTGACTTGGAACTTACCCAGCAGCATGTGGACGCTCAGCTGCAGCAGCCACCGGCCATAGTCCATTGTGGGGCTGGTCGCCTTTAAAAATTCCTGGCTCTCTGCTGGAAACTTTTGCCCTTTGGCCACACTCAATGGCCGGCCATATTTTCTATTAGTCCAAAACTTTGTGTAGCCAACTTTTTTGCACGCCAACGCGACTAGCTCATGATTACACAGGCAGTCGCCCGTCCAGCCATACATCTACATATATATAGATCTATATCTATGTCTATGTCTATATAGTTGCGATATCGATAAACGCCATTGACAGGTCAGCGGCCAATGAGCTAGAAAAATAAATGGAGAATTCTTGTTACACAAAAAGAAAGCGGAGGTTTTTTTTTTGTTGTCTGCTGTTTTTTGTTTTAAGGTTATTAAATTTGAAAACTTTTTTGGCGTCAAAGAACATTCATCTCCCCTCTCTACCGCTCTCTCTTTCGCTCTTCCCTGCTCGTGTCTGACTTTTAAAAAGTTTCGGTTTCGGTCTCGGGGTCGGGGTCGGGGTCGGTTCTTTTTTTATGAAACTTTCTTCTTGTTTTTATTTTTTTGTCCACTTCTGTTTGGCCACTGCATTTGTTTATTGTCATTGTCAGCGTTATTTAAACGTTGACAGTTTCCCGAAAAATCCCCAAAAATAATACACAAAAAATTGGTAACAGACAACTTTGTCGTCCGCCTCTCCATCCAAAAGCCAGTCTCAGGTTCAGGCCCAGACACCGTCCGAGTCCGAGTCCGAGTCCGAGGTCAGGGCGCTGCGGGCTTCTGTGGCACAAAGTCCTTTAATGCTCTAATCAAATTGTGGCTTCTTTTTCATCACCCTCCACCCTCGCTCCAGCCCCTTTCCGGAGTTTTGCTCCTTGTTAATGTTGCTGTCGTCATTGTTTTGGTTTCATTGACGCGTTTATTAAAATTACCGTGGAAAAGTTTTTGCCGCGCAAGCGGCACTTTATTTTTAATAACAGACAGACGATCCATGGGGCATGAAGCATAAACGGATGTTAGCTCCTAAAAATATCCGTTCGCTCGAGGCCGTAGAATTTACAATTGAAGGGAATGGGCGGAAGGAAGGAAGGAAGGAAGGAAGCCTTCACGGACGAACGGCAGGAAGGAACGAGTAAACACAAGTGAATGGCTTAAATATTTGATTATTTGGCCAAGTTCAAATCAATGTGCCAGGTAACTTTGCATAAATGTAATCCAAATGGGTCATTGAAAACAGAATACAAATAATAGCTGACAGATTACCAGAGTTTTGCTGCGTAAACATTGTTAGAATTTTGTTATTTGTTCGAGGTAAAAATCTTTGAATTTTACACATTTTTAGTTGGGCTTGAGGCAGAAATGGATTGAAAATTAGTTGGGGATTGAAGTCAGAAGGAGCTGAAAACAAGGCACAAAAGGTAAGAACCAAAAATCAATTGAACGCTCAGCAAATCGAAAAATAAAGCTAACAAAAAACGCAAATCAAAAACCTTTCTTTTGCCTACTTATAAAAAATGTAACTGACAAGGGAAGGGCACGAAGTTCTAAAATCAAACAAAATACTTCCCACAAGAGACTGTCAAGTCTTTTTTGTATGTAGAACACAAGTATGGCAATCATATCAGTCAGCAGTCTTAGAGTCGAAGTCGAGACCAATCTGAAGAGCAAGAAATCAACTCGTTGGAGTGTCAATGTCAGATATAAACTTTAGACAAATTGGGGAGAAGAGAGTGGAGAGAGAGAGTATCGAGGCAACTGCTAATTGAATAATTTGAGTGCAGTTTTGGCATCATCATTTCTGCATCATGTGTCATGTGTGTGTGTGTGTGTGTGTGTGCATAGAGAAATCGAGACAAAATATGCTTTTGGGATGACAATAAAAATATTTAGAGTGGAGAGCAATGTGATTTGCAATTCAAATTGAAATGAATTTCCCAGAGCACAGGCAACGAAAAATGCTATTGTATGACAGATAACAAGAACGAAATCAAATCAAATGCAGAGGAATAATGCTCTCTGTGGGACAGCCAATTGAATGTCTCAATGACAGAGTTTTGCTTTTTGCTACTAGACTGGCCCGTAGGCGCAGCAAATCTCTCGAATGTCTTGCAATTATAATGAAAATATCAAATTAATGGCAATATCGACATTTCCACTTGTGCTGCCAATATCGAGTTCCAATTGCAATTCCAATTCCAATTCCACAGCCACTGCCACTGTCAGTTGGCAATTGCATTTTGCCCTTTCATTTGTTGGCTCATATCAATTTGCTCTCAATTTGTTGTACCGTACACGCAACATGTTTCCAATCAAAGGAGACAATGTCAAGCACACACTCCCACAGCCATAGAGGCAGACGGAGACACACACACACACACACAGAGAGAGAGAGAGAGAGAGAGGCTGCACAAGGAGCGACTTAAACAGCTCTGCTTGGAGCCGAGTTAATTACTTAATGGCAATGTAATGTATACACATACATAATTAACAAACATTTCATTGACTGGCTTAAATGACACACACACACACACACACCCCACACCCCATCTAGTACCTACACCCCCACACACAGGTCACAGCCTCTGCTCTTGGCTCTTGAAATATTTATGAGCTTTGTGCATCAGCAACAGTCAGTTGCTGTGGTTGCTGTTGCTATTGCTGTTCGATTTGCATAAATGCATAATTTCTAAAGCACACACACACACACACACACACACATTAGCTGTTTATAGCTCTATTTAACTACCATTTGGTGGACAGTTTTTTGACGCTTTTTTGCTTCGTTTTGTTGTTGTTTTGTTATCGCTTAGAAATCCGCACCGAATAGCTCCGTTTTGTACCGCTCTGCACCGCGCCGCTGCGTAGAGTGGCAACTCTTTGATGCCATGGACATGGTTGGCAGACCGTTGCCGGCGGAGTGCCGCCGTCTCGCTGTAGGATGCTGGAGCGGCTCCAACTTCGTTTCCGTTCGTTCATCCCCAAGTGCAGCCGAATGGCCTGGGCGCGCCTTCTGCTGTGAGCGCTCTCTTTGCTCCATTTATGGTTCGCTTTGTAGCTTTGTAGCCGCTGTTGGCGCTTACAGCTGTTAACGTAACAGTGTGGAGAGTTCTTAGCAGACTGTGTTGAGCGGTAACAGCAAATGTTGCGAGCGAGTTTGTTTACAGTCTGCTATGCTAACAGGGTATGTTAACTGTTTGATGTTATGTTATGATTAACATTGCACGAGCAAATCTAAAAGAAAACTAAAACTGAAATCTATTTATTCCGTTATAACTTGTTTCTGGAGACCACTGCAGCTATGAGCCTTACTTTATATACCCAGAGCTTCAATTCGCCCATTTTATTGCAATCTGACCAACAAATTCCTTGCCTTAACCTGTTTGTCACGAATATCCCTTTGAAATTTGGTCGCGCTCTTCATTTAAGCCTCGACCTTAGCTTCTTAGCGAGTGGCAGGGTTCAACTGCTGCATTAACGGGCTGCGCCATGGCGGTGGCCTTGTGCAGCCAAGTAGACAATTGAAAAATAACCAGCAAGCCGCCTTTCATCCCTCTTGCGGCACCGAAATCCTATTAGCCACATGTCTGTCTGTCTGTCTGTCTGTCTCTCTTTTTGGCCGGGGAAATGCATCGCTTAAGCTGCAGCGAAAAAGAAATGGAATTCCGTTGGCAAGCGGCAAGCCGCTTAGTTTCTTATCGATTTCATTTGTTGTGCTCGGTGCAGGGGGGGGGGGGGGGGGTGGACTTCAACTGGGGAAACTGGCTGCAGTTATCAGTCACTCACAGAGTCGCAGATGCTGCCCGTGGCAAGGCCACACAAATGCTTCCTGCCCCCAGCCCCCACCAAGACCCGGCCCCAACTTGCTGCTGACAGCCTGGCTGATGTTAATGTTGTGCTGTGGTTTGTTGTGGCGCTGTCATGTTGCTGCCACACTCCGCTGCGCTGCTCTCGGCGGCGGGGTCACGAAAGCAATATTTCAAATCCATAATGATGTCACAGACATCCACTCCTGATCGATGGGAAAGCCATCTCTGTCCTTAATGGGCAGATAATGTTAAAAATGGTGAATATTAAAATGAACTCAAATCAATTCAAATGCATTTTCCACTCTGCTCGGCTGGCAATAATTAATTTTTGTAAATTGACGGCACAGCCATTTCGAGCTTGTTAAAAATCAATAAAGCTTATGGGCTTAATGAGCTCAACGAGTCGAGTCCACTGGAGTGACGGCCGCCGCCACGCTCTACTCGCATTAAGCCCATTTAATATTCAAGTATTTATCGAAAATATTCTGCACTCTTTCGCCACAAAACTTACATTGCCATTAACTGCAAATATTCAAGCATATTTATTTAATTTCAGCTGCCTTCCAGCCGATAGATTTGTCCTAGGCCACGACACCAGAGCCGAGATCGCAAACAATGGTGGGAAATGTGCGGCAATGGAAGGTAAAGGGAACGCTCTCTTGTCGTAGCATTTGCCGCCTATGACTGTCTCTCCCTTTCGCCTAACATACATAATACATACATACATTCATCTTTTGCTCTCAGTTCTCCTCTTCTATCTCCACTCATTTTTTTTCGATCCCGTTTTAACCACTTCTCAGGCGCACTGGTAGCGTTTGCCTAACATAAATAACTGTTCTTCCTCTCTAGCTCTTTCGGTGCAGCAGCACGCGCTCTCTCCGTTTAGATTTCGCTTCACTCATTTTTTCCGATCTCGCTTTAAGCACTTGTCATGCACTCAGGTAGCTGCCTATGACTCTCTTTCCCCATCGCCTAACATAAATAACTGTTTTTCCGCTCTCGCTCACAAAACTTTTGGTGCAGCAGCACGCGCTCTCTCCGTTTAGCCTTCGCGATCTCGCTTTAAGCACTTGTCATGCACTCAGGCATAATGAAACTATAAAGGAGGGCCCGTCGTCGGAAGCGTTCCTCAGGTCATTTCCCCCCGACTGTGGTGGGATGCAAGTATGAGCATCTTATTACTGTAAAGTTGCTCTCTTTCTCTCTTTCGCACGCCCTTTCACTTGCACTTATTGACAGCATTGTTACGTTTCCCTATAAAAAGGCGACAGGCCCTCCTTTATAGTTTCTTCATGCACTCAGGTAGCATATGCTGCCTTTGACTCTCTTTCCCCATCGCCTAACACAAATAACTGTTCTTTCGCTCTCGCTCACAAAACTTTTGGTGCAGCAGCACGCGCTCTCTCCGTTAGCTGTCGCTGCAACTGTTCTTCTCTTCTCTCTTCGCTCTCCCGCTTTAAGCATTGCTTTAAGCATTTGTCAGGAACACTGGTCCGATAGCTATTTGCTCTTAGAGCTGTAAATTGTCTGCCTGTTGTGCACTTTAACAGCCTGAAAAATTGATTAAAATGTGGACAAAAGTATGCCGATGCAATGGCAAATATATGACCGCAGCAGCCATTTCCCGTTCTGCCAAGGGCCATCTATTTCCGTTGTTGTCGCCTTTGCGGTAAAGGTTCCCAGTTCTATTTTTTTTGTTTGGCCAAACCTGCATATACGTACATGGCACGTGAGTTTGCCATGGCCCGGGCATGACTAAGGAACTAATGGCACTCGCACACACAACCACACTTGTCACGTGTTTGGACTACAACAAATATGCTAAAAATGTAATGCCAAAAGCCAGCCATGGCAGCAGCAGAGGCAGAGACAGGGGCGTGGCAGGGGAGCTGCATGGCCAAAGCATTTGGATTTTGCATTTTACAGCGCCCGAAGGCCGCGCAGCTGCTAAACTTGGCGCCGTTTGTTGCCATTTTCGGAAAATGCGCTGGGGTATGTTAAAAATGCATTCTCCCCCACACCCTCTGCCGAAGCAGCACATCACCCCCCTACAAACAGAACGTGCTGCCCTTGCCGCTCTGGGACTGAATCTTCTCGGCTGCTGGAGACTAAGCGTTACTGGCTTGCGGTACACTGGGAGAAGTTCTACACGCACCAATGAGTCGGAGAATTACTCATAAACTCACATAGACCTGAATATTTAATCTAAGCACATGCCACAGAGTAGCATAACATCAGAATAATTTCAAATATAATTTGATTTTCGTCCTCTTAGGCGCTTGGCTTTAAATTATAACTTTTAATTTAAGCCACTTGCCATGCAAAGACTTTTATCATATGTATTTAAATTTTTATCTTTTTTTTTCGTAGTTTGCTCTTCTCGCTCAGTGTGTTCGTTGGTCTGGCATATGAGTGTCATCCTCGGATCCCATCGGGTTAATGGAGTTGCATCAGACGTGCGGTGTAGGTGGTCACAGTACCCTGCGCTGCTCTCTCTCTCTCTCAGCCCCACTCGTGGATAAACTTCAAACATGATCAGGCCAAATTTACATTGAGCAAAAGTTTTGTTGCGTGGGGTAGAAGCAGGGATAGGAGCAGGGACAGGGGCTGGGAAAACGACAGCAGCTAAAAAGTTCTTGGCTCTTGATTTTTCATGAACTGCCGTCGTCTGGCTTGGTGCCTCATTATACGGATGGACTGGAGCTGCGGCTGGGGAGAGCACTGGGGAAGGCTGCCTTTATAGGCAGGCACTTGGCAAGCCGCCCCTAGACGTAGACGCTTGCCACATTCCTAGGCAAATACTCGTAAATAAGAGAGGCAAGAGGCAACAATGAAGCGGACTGTAGACTGCCACAATGGCCGCGATTGTCGCTGCGCCCAAAAGTATGCAGCGGCAGCCAAACAACAAAAAATAAGCCCAGAAGCCGCCGCGGCAAGTTTATTAAAAATTTGAGTTGGCCCCATGTCCCTCCACGTCCCTCCATGCCCCCCTGCCATAGTTCGCCCCTTGTGTATTATTATTGTTTTCTTTCGTTGCTTTGCTTTTCTTTCCCCTGTTTTATTCCATTCGCTGGCGTATTATTTTTGTTTCGTTTTTCCTTTTTTCCTTTTTGTTTTGCTGCTGCTGCTGCTAGTACATTTTTTCACTGTTAGTTTCTCTGTGCCACTTGGCCAGGCCCGTGCTACATGCACTTGAGTTTCATTTGCTTGTTCTCCTCGGCCCTGTCCTGCCCAGCCCCCTCCAGCGACCCGACCACCGCCTACTCTCAGGCCGGGGCAATGTCAGAGAGTGCATTAAAAATTGTAGTGCCCGAAAAAGTTTTATGTACAAAAGAAAACCACAACAAAATGAAGTCGAAATGTTTCTGTTGTTGTTCCCCAGCTATTATTATTGCCATTGCCACAGATGTTGTTGCTGGTGCCGCTGCTGCCACTGGATGCTGCGGTACAATTCACTTTGTTAAATTATGTGCAGCATTTGAGGATACATTTACTTGGCGAATCGACTGGATCCCAACGGACCATTCCCCACTGCGAAGAGAGAGAGAGAGAGAGAGAGAGAGAAAATAATATGCTCTACGCGGTTCATGGCCAGCGACTCCACTTAATTATTATTCGCATGCCATAATATCATAATAATAATAATAAATTATTTTGCACGCCTAATGTGCAATTTTGTTATTTGAATTATTAACTGCAAATGATTCAACTCATTGGCGAATAATCATCAAAGCAGTTCAGCTATTGTGCTTTTGCAATGCAGCTTTGTGAAAAAACCGTTGGGTTTGCAATTGATTTTGCAAGCAAAAGCCCGTGCTTGCGAATTGCCAGTGCCCTATGCAGAAGAGAGCGAGACAAGGCGATCGAAAGAGAGCTTTGGAGCAGGTAGCGGCTGCTGCTATGCTGCGCACGAGAGCAGCACTGGCCCGCTGCTTAGCTAGAGCGCGAGAGAGGCGCGAAGACGGTGGGATAAGGAGACGAAAGAACAGCCGCGGATCGCGAGTAGTCATGTGCGAGAACTAATTTGTAAGTACAGTGAGTATTGGCAAATAAAGAATCATGTTAGGCTGTAGTTTATGATTGCTTAAATAATTTTTGTTTCCATGCCTTCCAATAATTAAATTAATGTTCTAGAAAACTAGTCAGATCCCAGTCAATACTGAAAGCTGGTAAACAACTGGTTGAAAACTAAAAAATCAATTCATCAAAGAATCATTCACCACACTAATGCCTACAAATTTCACTCAGCAGAAAAAAGAGAATAAGGGTGGGCAACGGATCCGTGGTGAACAAGTCCGCAAACTCCACAACAACTAAGAAGCCTCCGGAGCAGCATCAAACAAAAGCCAAGAGCGAGACGGTTTCTGAGTGCACAGAGAAGATTCCTAAGAGCGTCGTCGCTGCAATAGTCGTGGAGCGGCGTCGTCATAGCGGAGTATTCCTATCACGCAACATGGACGATTCCATACAGCTGCTCACTCCGAACATGGCCACTGGAGGGGTCGCAGCCGACTACGAAGAGGAGCAACGGTTCCGTGCAGATTTGCGCGGAGAGTCGTGCGAATTTCGCAGCTGGTCTCCCTACCATTCCACTCTGGCCGCCGCTGTCATGAGCGGACTGCCTGAGCTATACCTGAAGAGTGGCTCTAAGGTGCTGTACCTTGGGACTGGCTGAAGAAACATCAGCTGAAGCCGCTCCAGCTGGTCCAACTGGAACTCTTTGCGTGTGGCAGTGCGCTGGCAGTGGACGTGTACAATCGAAAGGCAGTGTAATTATGGGCTAATCCCAGCTACTATTTATATTTAAATTTAAAGAATATTTTAACTAGTCCCATTGCCATTTAAACGAATAAATGCCATTGAGTGTGTGCAAAAAGTGAATTAATCATAAATTATTTATGCCTCAATGCGAAGTGAAAATGCTTCAGAATTTTAATGAAACTAACAGGCAGATAATGAATGAATTAAGGGCATTAAAAAGCTATGTGTATGTGCCAATAATTTCGATTTTTTTATATACATTTTGATGCAATACAGTCACTCCCGTATTGATAGCCGCCAGAGAATCCAATTATCCCACTTAACACATAAACTTGTGTAATGGCCATAAATGTGGCTAAGATCCTGCACCTTTGAGTCGTTTGGGGAGGCATCTCATCCAAAATGATTAATGGATTCTGCCAAAGACACTCCCTGCAAACCAAGTAAAAGCCTGTAATAATCTCATTCAACATTCATCACACATATAGCACGCATTTTGGCCCGCATTTAATTACAAACGTACAATTTTAATTTAATTAGGGATTACAACTAATAAAACTTTTTCATTTCGCTGAATCGGATGGATCAGGCACTTCTTCGAAGCACAAATACCATTTTTGCTCAAACAAATGCATGGCAAAATCTTAATTAACCTCGGGGTGCAGAGCATAAACCAGCACACACACACACACACACACACACACAGGACACACATCCGCATCCTTATACTTATGCAGGGGATGTCTATTACGCGAACATTTCAAATGAATGGAAGGCAAGCTGAGCAAATAAAACTATGCACATATGTGTGTGTGTGTGTGTGTGTGTGGGTGTGTCCATGGGGTGTACGCATGTGTGTGTGTGTGTGCGCACACACATTCATTTGTATGTTGCGCACTTTATCCCCATCTATCTCAAAGACAAAACCAGTCAGTTAACCAGCACACAGACGCGCGCTCTGCTCCCCCCCTCGATTGCCAGTCCCCACCTCAGCCACAGCCTCAGCCACCACCCACGAAACCCGAACCACGAAGCCCAACCTCACCCCACCACACCGCCACGCGACTCTCGTACTCCCTCAGACTCATCCGCACTTTCGTCGCTTGGCATGTGAAGCGAAAATTTCGCTGCTCGGGAATTACATTAAGCGTTGGGCATAATAAATTATTCCGTATGATATGATTCTGGTACATGATAAGCGTTTGTAATTTTAACTGTCAGTTAAATGAGTAAATGGCACAGAGTGCTCGCGGTGGGTGGTGCAGGACGAGCCTGCCTGCCTGCCTGCCTGGCATGGCAACGATTTAGAATACTTCATATTTATCTTTTGTTGGAAACTTGAACATTTGTGTGTGCGTAAATAAAAGTTGAGCGTCAATATTTGCCACACACACATACACATGCACACACACACATGCAAACACATGTGTGTGTAATTACAACTCTGCGCTGGAAAGTTGTCGGGACAGAGAGGAGAATAGACGGCGCAACGTACGTGACTATAATCATCGCGATTTTGCTTTTGCCGCCTCATAATCTGCAACAGCATCGCACACACACACACATCCACACCGACTGCTGACCCACGCCCCGCACCCCATGCCATGCCATTCCATTCCATTCCGTTCCCACCATTCCCTTTACGCTATTTGCTTTGAAATTAAAAAAGTTTCGCACTGAAGCTCTCTGTTAGATTTTTCGCCTTTGGCTCTCCGCCTCTCCGCCCCTCTGCCTTGATTTACATGTTAAATAATTTTGTGTTTCCCGCTGCTGCTGCCTGCTGCCTGCTGCTCCAGCACGAAAGTCAAATATGAGCTGCAGTCGCTGTCCCTGCCCTGCCTCGTATTTGCCGGCTGTAAATATATACAGCAGCAGACGGAACAATTCAAACAGTTCATTAAATCACGTAGCGAGAGTAAAAAGAAAGTAGCTGGACATGTCCCGAAGAGAGTCAGAGACATATCAAATATGATCCTGTTGCAGAAACTATTTAAATGTGCCTCTATGGAGAGTATTTACTCATGGCCCTACGACACTTACAGATTAGAACGCTTTAGCAACAGGGATTTGTTGTTCCTCCCCCGGCATTTGTTTAAATTAACGATTTGCAGAGCAGAGAAGAGCAGATGCTGCGGTCAGACAGCCGCCCATTGAGAGCTCAAGAGAAATGATGATGCATAAATAACGCGACGATAATCCCAGTTAAAAGCTTTAGACATTTGTTTGGATTTGGTCGCAGCTTTCCAATATTTGCCTCAGACATATAATTTTTCCCTGCCCCACGACCCTTAGCTGGTGGTTAATGTCTGTCGATTGCTGGTTGGATGCCAAGATGAATGGCACTCGATTTATTATCGATGTCTGGCAGAGCGTAGCGGTTTATTAATATGCCACGAGTGCAAGGTGCGGATGGGACACACTTTTTTTTGGGGACTATCTACAGGGGGCTGCCGGGGGAACTGGATCGGCAAGGTGCTTCATAATCGTCTGCGGACGTGTAGTTGTCATCAATGCAAATACCAAGCAGCGCTCAGCAGCAGCAGCACTTGTCAGCACCGTTCTCATGCTCAGTACGGACCTTGTATGCTCCAGCTGGGAGCCACATCGATTTCGTCGCATGATTGATCAAGTGCGTGCGTGTCGGGGACAGTGGCAAGGAGCAAGCAGCCAGCAGCCAGCAGCCAGCAAGGATGTGCACAGCGAGAGAGTGCCGTTGCCGTTGCCGTTGCCGGTGCCGTTGCTGAACCATTTTTCTGACATTTAGTTGACAGCGCAAATTTTTGTTTGCTCGTAATGTGCCCTCAACAAGGATATGGACATTGGGTCCTGTCCCACTCTCCCAATCCTTGTAATGTGAGTGCTTAAAAAGCATTTCACGCCATCACCCAGCAAGGACTCGATAGCAGTACGACACTCGGCAGCTGATTTGACATTTATCACTGCACTGCCGACTTTCGATTTCCCCCGGCCAGCCAGGCAGCCAGCAGTAGGCAGCGATATGTGGCTGTGACTGTGGCTGTGGCATTGATGGAGCCGTTCCGAACATGCCACACGCACTCGGCTCTGGCTTTGGCTCTGGCTCTGGCTCTGGCGCCGTGCGAAATTTTAATGAAAACTGTCAGCGATTGCCCACTGCCAATGGGCATGGGCATGGTCACGGGCACGGGCAAGGTCCGGTCCGGTCCGGTCCGGTAGTGGTGCCCACTAAAAAGCCCCGGCAAATGTGATAATCCAATTGGCAGGCGCACACTGTATGCCGGGGTAACACTGGCACAGCCAAAGCCCCAGCCTTGTCTAATGTAATTCGTGATTCAGCATAAACTGGCGGTCGGGCAACCGCCCACGCCCTCTGCTGGATTTATTGGCAAGCGTTCGGATTGGGATTGCAAGTGGGGGTGGGGCAAAGCAAAGGCATTGGAATTCGGGATAAGTAAAGGAATAGCGATAGGGATGGTGGCTGCTGCTGGCTCTGGCACTATCAAACGGTGCGATAGGCCAATTGCCAATTGTCAGATACAATTTATTCCAGCTCCCTTAGATGCTGCCAGGGCTGCACTAAATGCGAATTGAAAATAAAATATTACACAGCGATTGCAGCTGCAGCAGCAGTGGAAGGAGCACTGGGAAAGACAAACAAACATTCAATGCAGCCAGCAGTAACACGATTATGCCCAAGGTATGTGCAAGTAACGGGTAAGGCAGTGCATGGACAAGGGGAATTGATACATGGCGCTGCCTTACCTTCTTTTTGCTTATATCTTCATTATGCCAATGGGCATGCAGTGGCAGCGAGCGAGAGAACTGCGACTGCGACTGAGACGCCGACGATCATCAAGTCCAAAAGGAATCGTAAAACAAAAGCGACAGATAGTTTGCAGTGCGCCACAAAAACAACAACAAGAGCAGCAAGAGCAAAAACAAGGAATACCTCACTGATGGCTGCCACTGCTGCTGCTGCTGCTGCTGCCACCTTCCTCTGCTCCACCACTGGTGATTGTGGGCGCGGTGGCGGAAAGCAGCGCCAAACCAATCGATTGTGTGGATTCTTTTTTCTTTGGCGTTAACTGCCGGCTCCAGGGAGGGGAGCACAATTGGGAGCTGGAATGGCTGCTGTCGTCGTGCTGATAGTGGGCTACAGACAGACTGCAGCAGCAGCACCATCGAAAGATGGGAGAGAGAGTGGGAGAGAGGCAGCTGCACTGTCATCGAAGGCTGTTTCGGTAGCTGCTAGCCATTAGGCTGGTGCATAAAAAGTAGCCATTAAAACTTTTAAATACCAGCAGTAATATTGCCGAAAGAGATTTGATAGATGTTGAAATAGTGCTTCTATTGGAACTGTAATTTACTTTAAATACTCGAGCAACAACAATTGCGATCCGTGGACAACGCAAAAATGAGCAGGCGCGAATTCGCTCCGGCAGAACGCAAAGCAAAAACGACCGAGAGCGAATTCAGACGGCAGCGAATTTAGTGGAGAGAGACAAGCAGATCGCCGAGGGAGCTTTCAATACCAGCGCCCAACGTAAACGTTTGTGTTTGATATTTTTTGGCACCATCCTGAACGAAATCAGCACGCATTTTAGCCGGGGACCAGTGCACCAGAGTGCAGTGCAGTGACACCTTGAGGCGCTGTTGGCAAACTATAGAAATCACATAAACGGCCATCGACCCATCGCTGCATGTTGTCCCTCCCCTCTGCCCATGCCACATCGACATGCACCCTAACCCGCATTCGCACAATCACAAAAACACATAGCATAAGTGAGTAGGGGGCGGGGGCGGGGGCGGGAACCAGGGCTCGGCCCACATGCAGCGGAACGGCTGAAACTGCAGAGACAGTAGAGAGAGCAGCGGAAAATGCAACGTAAAAATGCATAAATCCGTGGGATTTAAAGATTTTGTTGGAATTTGTGA